AGCATGGAAATTAGTTAGTTGCTGCATGTTGCCCATCTGCTCCTTAATCTGACTTTATTTCGGAATTCTCAGACTTCCCAGCTGATTTAGCGCTCAGCACAGATATAGTCATTACAGTAGGTGACTTTAATATCCATGTAAATGCTGCATGTATTAGATGATCAGTCTCTATAAAAAGGCTTACATGCTGCCAGTTTTTAATGTTTACTGTAATCAAACCGCTGCTCAAAAAGCCTGCTCTTGATCCAGGCCATTTATACACTTATACCCATTTTCTAAAATTGTTGAAAAAGCTGCTACAAGCCAATTATTTCTTCAGAAATGGTTTGCCAGAGGGCTGCAAGGTGGCTCGGTGGTTAGCACTGTTGCCTCGCAGCAAGAAGGTGGCCGGCCTTCGCCCTGAGTCAGATGGGATAGGCTCCAACCCCTCGTGACCCTAGTGAGGATTAAGCAGTGTATAGATAATGGAAAGTATTGCTCTATCACTTAAGTTTGTGTACTGCTGTCATCGCACCGAGCCTGTGGGTGTGTTTATTGCGTCAGAACACAACCAGACTGGTAGTACCAGGTACAAACATGAAGCATTTATGGTTGTCACTGGGGAAGCGTTGCATTTTATGACTTCTGTATAGGAAACCTCCTATAGACACAGAAGAACTTTGTTGATGTTCCTGTTTTTACGTGAATTCTAACTTAAGATATGTTTCACTTTTGTATGATTGTCCAATATAATATTTGTATATATGTCCAATGTAACTCATTCCTGTCTGATAATGTACATATATTTACACCTTTGCTCACTGCGAAAGTCTGATAATGTACATATATTTACACCTTTGCTCACTGTGAAAGTCTGATAATGTACATATATTTACACCTTTGCTCACTGTGAAAGTTAATTTGCGACCTTTGGAAAAGCAGGACAATAATTAATCCGAATATTGACGTATGTTCTAATAAAGCAGTTAAGCTGGTGTAAGATAAACTTGATTGATCCTCCCCAGAGGAACATGATACAGCAAGAAGAGACGTGGAAGAAGCGAGACAAGAAATACAAAAGTACAATAAGGCTAAAAATAAACATATAATAAAAATGAGCCACTAATGCCAAATGAAACTAATCAATTGGTCAAACTCCAGGTTTGTCTGAAGGACATTAAAGGCCTGGATGACCTGTAATTTTCTTCATTTAAATCCAGACAAAAACTGAGGTAATTGTATTTAGATAGATAAAACTTTATTGATCCCCTTGGTAGAACCTCAGGGAAATTGTTGAATTATTTGTCCCTGAACACCCTCTCTAAGCAGAAAGCTACTCTGGATGGCATTACCGTACCCTCCAATTCTAATGTCAGGTATCATTGGAGTTATTTTTTTTACCAGGATGTGTCCTTTAATCAACACAAAGCAAGTCTGTAGGACGGCTATGCAATGTTGTTAAAATGAGGAACATCCTGTCTCAGAGTGATGCTGAAAAACATTTATAACTTCCAGACTGGACTACTGTAATTCCTTATTACCAGGTGGTCCCAATAATTCTCTTAAAAATCTAATACAAAATGTTGCAACCAGGTTCTGACAGGAACCAGTAGATTATATTTCTTCCATATTAGCTTCACTTCATTGGCTCCCTGTAAAATCCATGACTGAATTTAATATCCTGCTTCTCATATATAAAACTCTCAATGACCAAGCTCTATCTTATCTTAAAGACCTTATTGTACCATATTACCCTAACTGAGTCCTTTGTTCTCAGATTGCAGGTTTTGGTTTGGGAGGCAGACACCCGCTCTGCTTTTAAGATTAGGCTTAAAACATTCCTCTTTGACAAAGCTTATAGTTCGGGCTGCTTATGGTCAGGGGATAGGTTTAGACGGCCGAGGGACTCCCATGATGCACTCAGCTCCTATCCTCTACTCTCCCTTCTTACATACAGTTATATATCACCATTACATATCACTAACTGTGTCTACTCTGAGGTCCTGTGCTTGTTCTCTCTGTGGATGTCTGTGGATCTGGAGCTTCATGTCTCGGACCTGCAGTCACTGGCCTCACTGACGTCCGTTGGCTAACCTTCTATCCCCCACCCCCCTCGTCCTCACTCTTACCCCAACCAGTCGAAGCAGGTAGCTGCCCTCCATGAGCCTGGTTCTGTCTGTGTTTTTTGTTTGTTTGTTTGCCAATCATCGCCTACTGCTTGCTCATAGGGATTCAAAAAAGACTTTGGATTGTTTAAAATTTGTAAGGTTGCCTTACTATGTGAAGTGCTATGAGATGACATATGTTGTGAATTTGCGCTATATAAATAAAATTGAATTGAAATAAATGATGAACATACTTAACATATATGGATATGTAGTTCCCCAAAACTTTCTGTTGCATCTTATGGTTGTCATCAGTAAAGTTTGTGTATTTGATATGGGGACAGTTTTGCTGTCATCACATGATGATGTGTATGTAAAGTCAGTATGTACCCTCAGTCACATTGCAGGCAGTGTGCATGGGTGGAGAGGGTTACTCCTATCTCTAGTTTTAGATATCAATATTTTCGATCCTTCACCCAACTAAAACCAATATGGGATATGAGATGAAACAGGAACAGAAATTTAAGAAACATAGGACCACTTATCATACACAGTGAATTTTCAGTTTGCGCTGAACTTCTCCTCTACAAAGATCAAAACAGGTAATAATGGAAACTATGACTCACCGAGCCTGGAACTTGAGATAACTGATATGGAAATATTTGCGTGTGAGTTTGTCTGTGAGTGTGCGGCTTGTGTGTATGTTTGGATTGAGTCCATTTGGACACTCACATTAGTGCTATATATCACTGATAACGTAATAAAACTATAAACACACACCCATACAAACACACAGATGGTCCTGCAGACTGACAGTTCTTTATCAGTGTTCCGTTGCTCTGATAAAAGGAACTGTGTGTAAAGGACATAAAGGCTGACGGTGCAACTCTGACAGAAAGGTGTGGCTCCAATTCAGCTGGTTTAGGATCTGTAATGACCAAATAAATTCAAATATTTTGGGTATCCTTATGATACCACCTATTTTGTGAAGTGCAGCTCCTGCAGCAAAGCACCTCCACACGTGATGCTGCTACCTCCGTACTTCACAGTTGGGATGGTGTTGTCAGGCTTGCAAGCTTCCCCCTTTTTCCTCCAAATGTAACGATGATCATTATGGCCAAACAGTTCTATTTTAGTTTCGTCAGACCACAGGACGTGTCTCCAAAAATTGTGATGGCCACTCCAAAACACTGACTTTGTTAAATGGTCTGCACTTATATAGCGCTTTTCTACCTTTGCGGCACTCAAAGCGCTTTACAATGTTTCTCATTCACCCATTCATACACCAATGGCGACAGAGCTGCCATGCAAGGCGCTAGCCTGCCATTGGGAGCAACTTCGGGTTCAGTGTCTTGCCCAAGGACACTTCGACTGTGGAGGGGACGGGGATCGAACCACCAACCTTACGGTCAGAGGTTCTACCACCTGAGCCACAGCCGCCCCTGTCCTTAAAGTACCTTTGTAACTAACTTGGCGGTATGCTTAGGGTCATTGTCCCTTTGGAAGACTCCTTTGCACCCAAGCTTTAACTTCCTGCCTGATGTCTTGAGATGTTTCAATATTTCTACATAATGTTCTTTTCTCATGATGCCATTTATTTTGTGAAGTCCCTTCTGCAGCAACCCCCCCCTTTGTCCCTGTGTGTATTTGCAAACTGTAATCTGGCTTTTAATGTTGCTTTTGGAGTAATGTCTTCTTCCTCTCTGAGTAGCCTTTCAGCCCATGTCAGTACAGGACTTGTTTCACTGTGGATAATGACACTCTCTTACCAGCTTCAACCAGCATCTTCACAAGGTCTTTTGCTTTTGTTCTCCGGTTGATGCGCACATTTTGCACAGAACCCGTCTCCTTCCTGGGCGGTATGATGGCTGGACATAACCATGGTTTTCGTACTTGCATATAATTGTCTGAACAGATGAACATGGAACCTTCAGGCATCTGGACATTGTACCCAAGGATGAACCAGACTTGTGGAGGTCCACAATTCTCTTCCTGATGTCTTAGCTGATTTATTTAGATATTCACATGTTGTCCCAAAAGGAAGCAGTGTGTTTAAGATGTGCCTTAAAATACATGTATAGGTGGGCCTCCAGTTAACTTAAATGTTGTGAATTAACCTGTGAATAGCTTCCAAAGCCATGACATCATCATCTGGGCCTTCCCAAACAGCTTGAAGGCACAGGAATCTTAGTGTATGTAAACTTCTGACTTTGAAGAAAACAATTTTAAAAATTCTCAAAAAAAATTATCTCTCATTATTCTGGCATTTAACAAATAGAAATAATTTTTGTTATCCTAGCTGACCTAAAAGGGGAGAAGTTTAGTCTGATTTAATGTCAGACAGTAAAAAAAAATAAGGTTTTATGTCTTTTTGTACAGCATACTGTATGTAAACTTCTGATTTCAACTGTATATAACAAAGACATAAATAAACGAGCAAAGGATTTTCTGCAATTCTTCATCAGTGTGGTACAACAAAATGTCACGTTGCAATTACTAAAGAAGCAGGCTATGGCGATTTATTCATATACAAAGAAACAAACTGAACTTCACTTTTATGGAAACACAAACATGCACACACACAACCTAAAGTCCGGGTCATAAATTAGGTAATAATTATGCTGGCTGGCCCTATCTTTTATGGCTCCTCCTTCAGATTCCCCACCCTGTAAAAATTACTGACCATGTCCAGTATTTAAACAGTTGTCCCATTATTTTCTCTGCCATCTGATGAGTAGAGCTACACTTTTCATATAAGTGTTTGGAGGGTCAATTGAACTTTTAGGTATCATTAGTTTTTCGAAAGGCAGTGTTTCCTTCCATCTGCAGACAAAATGTGTACAGGAGCGTGTTCTAAGTTTATCGCTGTCCCTCTCTATGTCCTGGCTGCAGTGTCAATTATCTGCAACCTCATGCTCTTCTTCCCTGACTTTGATACACAATATGCAGCTCAAGACAGGAAAGGAGAGCAACGGCTCACTGAAGAAGTGAAATATATGGGAGGCTTTTTAGGAGGAGGACTTATGGTAAGTACATTTGCTAATTTTACACTCAGTGTGATTAATGCCAGGGCTTCCAAAAAGGTTAAAACCTCAAAAAAGAGCAATGCCAAAAGACCAGTGAGGAGTTTGTAGTTAGAAAGGGTAAGGCACTGACCTTACCAAGATATTTTGCTACATGTGGGAAGGTTGCTGTTTTTTTTTTCAGTCTAGTTCAACGAATTTTAATTCGCTTCACCACAATCCATTCTATTTCCATTCTGTTTCTTTCTCATTAACATTTACTTCTATCATGTTCTACTCTGCTCGCAGTGTCACCTGCCATCCATTTTGTTTTAGGTCTTTGCCTGTACGTTATGGGTGTGTCTCTACTGATACTAGCAGAACAGCATGTACAAGGTGTGCCAGGAAAAGTTCAGGACTGGTGTCACAAAAGATATATTTCAAATCCAAACTACAAACTACAAGTTTTCCCCTTCGAAGTAATCCCCTTGGAGTCTCGTGCACTTTCCTAGCCTTCTCTGCCACACCGCCATGCACTCCTGGAAGGATACTTCCGGGATCCTCCGCAGCTTCGTCGCCACAGCCATCTTGATGTCATCCACTACTATATTCGGATGCTCAGGGTACTGTGAGCAGGCGCGTTGTCATGGTGAAGCAGCCACGACTTGTCCTGCCATAACTGTCACCGCTTCTCGCGCACTGAACGAAGCAAACGCCACAGGATCTCTGATCAACTGAAGGGGAAAACTCATAGTTTGTAGTTTGGGTTTGAAATATATCTTTTGTAACACCAGTCCTGGAATTTTTCTGGCACACCTTGTATAAGCAACATGTTCCCATGCCTCATGACAAAACGTCTTTTTTGCGACTGCTTTTCACAATGACCGTCATGAACATTATAGAACAACGTGACTCATATGAGTGTTTTCGGAAATTAAAATAGAAGGTTAAAGGTTCTGTTGAACTCTGATATAGCAGCAAACACCTATTTGCTATGTAAAGATAGAGTGAAGAAATGGCATCTTTTGAAGAGATCCTTTTGTGCGTGTTATAATCCAAGCTTCCATGTTTTGTTGACCAGTCTGATCCGCACGCATAGATCGATGATCGCACATGTTACGTTCAAGATAGATAAGGAAGTGGCAAAAGGACAAAAATAACCTGAGAAAAAAAAGGAAAAAAGACATAGAATTAAGGTGCCAAAAATGCTGGTATTTACAAAAAAGGTGAAAAAATTGTTGGTTAAAAAAAAAAAAGGTACAATGTGAAATAGAACTAATATCAAGCATTTACGAGGGGTGTGGTGCATGGGTCCTGGTGGACCAGGATATTGGTTTTATTACACAGTTGAGTTGAGTGACTGGCAGCCGACAGTTCAGGTCACAAGCCACTGCTCTTGACTGCGGTGTTGTGATGCCTGATGGCTGTGGGGACAACGGATCTCCTGTAGCGGTCAGTTCTTGCAGCGCAGCATGATGAACACTGTAGTTGCTCCTCTGTCCAGCCAGGATGTTGTGAAGAGGGCTGGTGTCGTTCAGGATGGACTACATTGTGCTGTGTATGCATTTCTCAACCACAGTCCTCAGCGAGTCCAAACTCCTGCCAAGCACAGGACCAGCCCTCTTCACTTGCCTGTTTGCGCATGTTAGCATGCATGAGTCCTTAAACTTTGAAACTGTTGGATCTTCATGCGTACACAAACAGACTGATGACAGATAACGAGAGTGACCTTTCATACCCCATTGTAAAGTGGGAGTCAATGTGAAATGAAATGTGAAGGGAGGGTTAGGGTTAGGGCAAGTGTGAGCAACGTGTCTCTTTCTTTTGGTCTGAGATGTTGGTGCTCTTGTGACATCCAGTGGTTGACTGGTCAGTTTTGGAACAAGCCTCTAGTGGCTATTTGAGGAATTGCAGTTTTCTGAAAACTGGTGGGTAGCAGGTCTGACGATGAAGACAGAGGGAAATCCTCTGCCTCCCTACCATCTTAGGGGTTAGGGCTGGAAAACTCTTTTATGGTGCAAAGTTTAGCCTCATGTCCCATTGCCATCTCAGTTCTGCACACACCCCTTGATTATCACACGCTTCTTCTGTAATCCGTGATTCCATTTTTCAGGAGCTCTCATGGGACAAATTTAAGGGCACTTTTACAAACAACTTTGATCGTTTCTTAGGCCACCCTGCATTCTTGCTTTCTTGCCATTGTTGTGATTATGACTGAAATTCGAACAATAGCCATGTATCCAGCCACAGCTTCACTATCCCAGTCAGACAGGGCAGCTGCAGCTGGATACTGTTGGAGATCAGTGAGTTTCACATCATCTTTATCAATCTGTAGAGTACATACCTATACAGGCAGCGTATTATAACTAAAATGTTCGTATTGACAAAAAGAAATTTGAAGCATATTGCAAGGCAATCCAAACTATTAGGAGGTAACGCAAAACCTATTGCAAGAGAATGCAAAATTATTGCGAGGGCATACAAAATGTATGTGAGATAATGTAAAAATAGTTGTAAAAGAGTTAACACCAAGTAACCAAACAACACACAATTTTAACAGGAGTAGCCAAAACTCTCACATCACATATTGCAACCTACAAAAACAGCATCTTTGCCATCATCCTGTGAAGACTTAATCATTTTAAATCACGATAAAAGAAACAAAAAGGATGTCCCATGGAGAAGTAAACATAGCGTGGACTAAAAAGACACTGCAGCAGTGCAGATGGTGAAGAGCACAATTAGTAATTCATCACAATATACTCACTTAAAGACTTTGCTGTCCAAATTGCTTGTCTGTTCATCTCCCTACATTAAATCTATCATCATCTCTCTCTCTCTCTATCTTGTCTTTGCTTTCTTGTCTTAATTTTTGTCTTCTCTCTGTTTCTGTCAGGTCCTGATTCCTGCCATCCACATTCATCTGACCAGTTCAGACAAGTGCTGTGCCAACCGCTGTGGGGTGAGTATGAATTGTACATGAACATTATCTAACTGAAATGTTGCCCTTTTGTTGTTGCTATGGTAAGCACTTTTCCTGCCAAAATTGTCTGCAGAGTAGGCTCACGTGTGCATGAGCGATAGTACTTTCAATAATAGAAACATTGGGTGTGTACAGTGCATCAGCAGCATCCTGTGATTAGACATTGGGAAAAAATAACAGCAAGGTTGAGTGGTGCTACCTTAGCCATGTCTCTTCATACATGATGTAAACAATGCTGGATTTAAAGTACTTAGTAGTTAAAATTTTACATAGATGTCGGAGTTATGTACATATAGAAATTCTCGTGAGTAGATACATAAAGGTAGTTGATATTGACAAATTTTCCCATGGTGGCACCTTTCACCCTGGACAATTCCAGAAAAGGAAACAGTCCAACCCCTTTCCAGGAGTTTGATTCCAGAACCTTTGCTATCCATGGAGGTGAGCCCGACTATATACATAGATATATATATATATAGCCGGTACTGCCTTATCTCCTGCACTAGCTTCAGTTCCCCATCGCTAAAGTGATGTTTCACCTCCCAACGTCCTGTCTGCACCACCAGGGGGCAGCAAACCCAAGATTCACATAGCACCCAACCCCAGTCCCATGGCAGGCCAACTGGGTGGACGCTCCAGGCTCAGTCGCAAAATGTTAACAAACACAACAATCAACATCACTGAGCAGGATCATGTTGTTCTTGACCATAGTGCCAGTTACTGCATTTTGCTAATATCTGTTTTTAGTTGTCATTTGTAATTGTGACTTCAAAAGTGCTACTTTAGATCTTTACTTGACCTCATGATGTGTAAAAGTCTTTTGTAAAAGACGCTGGAAATAATTTTTGGAATGAAATTGTAAAACAAACACAGATGGCTTAAATATGTAATTTAACAATAATACCATAAATGTGCATTTCACAGCTTTACTGCACTCAAGAATTGATTTATGGATTTAAATGTTTAAGTATTTACACTCTTTATAAGTGAAGTGTGATGGTTGAATGTTTCACTCACATTACTGATTCATATGTGTTTTCTCCCTGCAGATGTTCCTGTCTATTGGATTTGCAGCTGCTGGTGTGGTGGGGTCTGTTTACAGTCTTGCTGTTGCTGGTGTTGGTCTTTCCAATGGGCCATTCTGTTGGTGGAGCAATGCACAACACCTCATTCCACAGTGGGGAGCACCCTTTTTAAACAGGTACAATTAATGTTGTTTTATGAAAGTGTTATCTATCCATCCAATATCTATACACTGCTTAATCTTCACTGGGGTCACGGGGGGGCTGGAGCCTATCCCAGCTGACTCAGGGTGAAGGCAGGGGACACCCTGGACAGGTCACCAGTCTATCACAGGCCCACACGTAGAGACAGACAATCAAGCACACTCACATTCACACCTACGGACAATTTAGAATCATGAGAGTGCTATGAGAACTGTAATTAATAAATACTGCTTTAAACTGTATCACTGTAGGGCTGCACGGTGGTTCGGTGGTTAGAATCGCTGCCTCACAGCTAGAAGATGCTCGGTTCGTGGTCCCCTGTTAGGACTCCTGAGATCTTTCTGTGTGGAGTTTGCATATTCTCCGTGTGCAGTGCGGGTTCTCTCTTGGTTCTCCAATTTCCTCCCACAGTCCAAAAAAGTGCAGAGTTTAATTGGTGATTCTAAATTGTCTGTAGGTGTGAATGTGAGTGTGCTTGGTTGTCTGTCTCTAAGTGTGGCCCTGTGATGGACTGCTGACCTGTCCAGGGTGTCTCCTGCCTTCACCTTAAGTCAGCTGGGATAGGCTCCAGCCCCCCCCCGCGACCCAAGTGTGGCTTTAGAAATAATGTACAGAAAATGGATGGCTGGATGTATCACAGTAATGTTCTTGTGTTTATGTTTGACTACAAAACTCATTTTTATTCTTTTCAGTAATGGAACCTACCTGACTGACAAGGAAATGTGGAACTGGTGTATATTGCCAGACAATGTGGTTGAATTCAACGTGGCACTGTTCTCCACTCTGCTCGTGGCAGCATCCTTGGAGCTTGTCCTCTGTCTCATCCAGATGGTCAATGGACTGTGTGGCTGCATCTGTGGCACCTGCTCCGGCAAGGATGTAAGACAAGAACAGCCTAGTAGCATGTAACTTCAAGCTACATTGTATATTTATATATATTAGCAAAAATCAACCCTGTCTCTCTTTGTTTTCTTTGAACAGTAAGCCGAACCACAACACACAATGACTTCTTGAACAAGAACTGAGAGGAATCATCATCACTATCAAGTCTTTCGTCATCATCATCACCATTGTCTTCATCATCACAAGTATCATAATCTGCTGTCGTGGGGTGATGGGATAGGGGCTATGTGTCATTAACAAAGATCCCACTTTGTTCTTGCAATGAACAAGAGGAATGACTGTGACTATTAATGAATATTACTTTCTTTATTATTTTATTAATCTGATTACAGATTGAAGATGGAATAATTGATGAATGCTGTATTTGAGTTAATAATTTATATGTTTAAAATATTTTGTATTAAAACTCTGAACATAAGATAACATATTTAACACTTTGTTTGATTTCTTTGTCTGAATGCTTTATTCACCACTGCTGATATAGATACAGTGCACAGTGCACAAAGTCTCATCGAGATCTGGTGTCGGACACACTATTGTTGCACTTTACTCATAATTGGAACCAAATTTAACCACTGCCCCATATATATGTGTTAGTTATATAAAGAGACAAAACCCAACAAATCCAAAGATTCCCTTGGATTCCATTTTAGCCAGCAGTGTGAAGCAAAAACTCACCTTTACCAGAAAGAAACTCCTTTAAAACCAGGCTCAGGGACGTTGGCCATCTGCCTTGATCGGTTAGGGCTCATGTAAAGGGAAGAGACAACAGGATGGCAGGTAGAAAATGCAAAAAATGCAAAACAATAAAAACCTGCGAGGTCAGTACTGCGAATCAGAAATATGTAGCTCCAGAGCAAGAGAAACATACCTGCAGGGAGTATATAACACAAACTACAAAGTTAGTGCTATACAATGATGGCTGCGTGGAGAGAGGAGAAGTCATTACTACTGAGAGCTAAAGGAACACAAGGCTCAACAGAGTGGTGAGTCTTTGACAAGAAACCCAGGATTATACTTATTTTCCTCTAAGATGAGTAATACGCGGTTTTAGTTTTACGGAAAACTTTTTTTTCATACATCATTAGACTATCTTTCTAAGCCAGGGGAAATTCTTTTGCGAATTCGGAAAGTGAAATGTGGAATACTTTTCGAGCTTTCCTGAAGTCTGCTTTGTGAATTACACCGTGGAGCTGGCCTCTTATGACTCTTTTTTTTTGTTCAGAGGGGCAACAGCATCATGCGGTGAGGCTACAACACTGTTAACAACATAATCGACCTCTGTGGGGGAAAGTTAAGGTAGTTGCTCTCCATTGTATTATAACTTGGCAGTGAAATAAGGAATCATTTCCTTAAATGTCTTCAAGGTATATAGCAGTTTAATTTTCATTGGGTATAGGGTGGGATGATTTATTTTCTTCCTGCTACAACCAGGTCTCAGTAAGACACAATAAATCAATATGATGATCAGATATCAGATCAGAGATTTAGATGTGGAAAAGCTAATATTTAGTCATCTAAGTATCAGTTTGAATTAGGTTCTTATGAACAGCGCCTATGATGTTGATTTTTGATTTATGTAATCTAGGTGGTCAGAAACCAGACAGTCTCTGTGGGATGTTGGGAGGGTGGCAGCTGTAGGGAAGCAGCAGAGAAAGCGTGGAAGACTGCAATTCTTCCTGGTGCTCTCAAATCTGAATATTCATGGTTTACAAGTAATAATAATAAAAACCACACATTTGTAGACATGAGAGCCCCATCGTCCAACACGGGTTGAAAACACTCTCCTTCTCTCTTTCACAGCCATTAAAGACTTTTTATCCCAAGCATATATACTTCTTAAGTCTTTTTTCCTTATTGTTAAATGTATATGCTTGTCTTAGAAGTTTACTATCATGTATCCTGAAATTCCACGATTTCTGTTTGCATTTCTTTTTTTTTCAATCATCTCAGGAACAATATGAGATAAATATGTTAGAATCAGAAGCTCACAAGGAATTTGGCGAGGTGAATGAGAACGGTACACAAGAGTAACAAGACAAGAATACGAATAAGTATAGAAATCTAGATCTAAGAAATTCTAAATAAAATATGTAAAAGAAAAGTATAAAAGTACTACGTAAATAAAAAGAGACATAAACCAAGTAATAAATTAGGAAACAGTTTAAATTACAGTACAATATAACACTAGAAGTTGAGGAATTGCACATGTAATGGTAATACACAGAGGACTGCAACAGGAGTCTTGTGATTTACTGACTGTTCATGAGGGATATGGGCTGAGGGAAGAAGCTGCTCCAGTGCCGGGATGTTCTGGTGCTTAGAGACCTGAAACACCGGCCGGAGGGTAGCAGGTCAAAGAGGTGATGGCCTGGGTGGAAGGGGTCCTTGAGGATTTTTCCTGCCCTTTTCCTCACTCTGGAGGAGTACAGGTCCTGGAGGGAGGGCAGGGAGGCACTGACGATCCTCTCAGCAGTCCTGACTGTCTGTTGCAGTCTCCTTATGTCTGAATTGGTAGCAGAACCGAACCAGACAGTTAAAGATGACCATAGGACAGACTCAGTGACTGCTGAGTAGAACTGTTTCAGCAGCTCCTGTGGTAGGTTGAACTTCCTCAGCTGGCGGAGGAAGTACAGTCTCTGTTAGGTCATGTTTGATCTCATTTTAATCACATGTTCGATGGTATTTCATATCTGTGATCATAGTGGCTATTTAACAATTTAGTTTTTATGTTCAAGAAATTCAACCAAATTAAATACTAAAGGTATGTGGCCTCTTATCTCTCATGGACAGTGAAGCTCAAGACCAACCTTTTTTGATGAACACACCCATGATTGGTTAGATGCTGATTTGACGTTTTGTATAAGAAAGAGTCAGTAGAACTCAATGAGGGCTTTTTGCTTGACTTTTGTTTTGTTTTTTTCCTGTTATTTCTGTGAGGGTTATGGGATATGTTTGTGTTTTGTAGTTTTTTCTCTGCTTTCCTGTGTTTGTCTTGGTGGGTGTGTGTTTTTTCGGCAGGCTGGGCGGAGTCGAAGGAGGGAGAACTTTCTCGCG